AAGCCGTCATGATCTCATATTGATATAGGAGGTGGACCAGATTGTATCTAAGGAGGAATCTAAAGAAAAATAGCATACAGTTGCGCACTAAAGATATACGATATAATTATCTCAAGTTAATGTGTGGCCCAAGTGGGAGATTGTTAGGAAATTATATTTTCTAATAATTATTGTGGGTCACATATTATATTAATAATTATATTGTGCTATTTATATATATTGGGTAAATTAAAGTGATCAGGTAAATATTCTCAAATAGATTCCTAAGTGAGTATGGGCTGAATGAGTGGATACCGGTGTTGGGACAACTAGGTATAATGGGAGCTTATTGGCCCAACAATAAAGATAAAAACACTATAAAGGGTTATGGTCCCCAATACGTCAAAGAACAACCCTAGTTTCTCTTCCCCATCAAGAGAGAGACGACACACTAAGGAATTCGGTTTTAGGGTGATTTGACTGAGGAAGACTACAAACCCCAAGAGACAATATCAAAGTTATTCCGCTGCAATGGAGACAGGTATGCCTCCACCTTTATGTTGTTCTTATTTTTCTTTATGATTTGGTATGATGGATCTTGGCTTGTAGGTGATAGTTATCACCATAAAGTTTAGAGGAATTAAAAATTCCAACATGTTGATTGTACGATTATTTCAATTTGAGTTCAGTTGGATCCATTATTAAAGACACTATTCTCTTGAAATCATTTTCTTTATTCTTATATAAGATTCAAACTCGAAATATCTAGTTAAAGGAAATTAGCTCCTTACCACTTGAATCATGGTAAGTAAATTACTTGTTTGAGCATACCTTCACTCCGTTTAGAAGTTAATAACCTCACAAGTAATTACAGAGCTGCTTTTATTAATTCTTTCAATGAGAAAGAGTCATTATTGGGAATTATTAATTATAATTTTTGATATTCACTTCAGACTAGTTCAGCAAGAATTGCAAGGATTTATTCTACTTGAAAATTTTTATGAAGAGTTAGTAGGTCTCGTTGGAATTTCTTGAATGAATGAAAATTTCATGTTCCTAAAATTCGATATGCACTTCTAGAAAATTAATTCAATAGTAGCGTAACATGACTAAGAAAACTCATAAAATCAATCTAGTTCCTGTAAAATTTAACACCTAAAGCAGTTTGTTAATTAATTAACTTCGTCAACCATGAGTGTACCAATATATGAAAAATGTTAGCAACACACACTTTTTAATATAAAAAATTATTATTATTAAACAAATTTTATATGAGTTCCAGTAAGTAAGCTCAAACTCACCTAATAATAGTGTGTTGCGAATATGTCAAAGGGTGCAAGTGTATTACTAACATTCCAATGTGTGTGTCTATATATTTAGTATATACCCAAAAATGTTGATTACACATCATTTGAAGTCGCAGCATATATATTCCTCAAAGTTGAAGATTTTGGTTTATGCCAGTTTGACACAAAAAAACGCACATACATATGCACAACGGCAACAATGATGTGCCGGCAAGTGCTGCGTAAACAGAAAGATTATATATTTATGTGCTGTATGATTTGAACCGTTCTGAATTTACTAACCTTACAATTGATTATAAAGAGCTGCTTCTAAATTTATTTCAATTCTTTTAGAGAGAAAGAGTCGTTGTTAGGAATGATTATAAGTTGGGATATGCATTTCAGCCTAGTTCCGCAAGAAAGATTGAAAAGATTAATTCTATTCGAACTTTTCAATAAGAGTTAGTAAGTATCGTTGGGAATGAATAAAGTTTTCATTTTCTTCATAAATAGAGATATACATTCCAGATAATGAATTCCATAGTAGCACCATATATATCACTATGCAAATTCATAGACCAAGCTATGGTTCCTGTTAAATTTAAACACCTAAAGCAATTTAGTACTATTTAATAAACTTTTCAACAATATGCGTGTACGTACCAAAAACAAATACATATATAAATATAAGAATTAACGCAACCTTACAATTGTATTGCATGAATTTGATAACAACCTAGCACGTGGATTAAATGGCATGAGATTGTTTCAACTTAATCAATTGCATTAAAATTTTAGTAGAGAGAATTATGTCGCTTTTGTAATACTACCTGACTATATCAAATTAATCGATCAGCATAAAAAATAAAAAATAAAATAGCTTGATTATCAATCAGAGTCCGTGCGGGTCCAAGATTAATGACAATAATTCTGTAAACCAATAAGCTTCAAGAATTTGTCAAACATTTTATAGTCTTAATATTTATATAAATATTGCTTTTGTATATGGAAAGCAACAGCTTGCACATGGTAACGCCACCCGCTAATCCCTCAAAGTTTCGCCGTCCACGACCATTTTACGGCATGAACAGCGTCTTAGATGAGAACACTCATAAGAATAAGATATCCGATGTTGTTTAATAAGAATATGTATATAATGATATTTATAAATTAATAGTTTCTTATGGTCCACCCAAGATGGGATTTTATCAAATTGTATATAAATTATACGTTTTCATATTGTTGAAGTCGATCGTGGGGGCCAGTTTATTGGATCATGGGCTTTTCTAGGATCATGTGTTGCACACTGTTTAAGGTACGTGGTTGCTCGTTTTTCAAGCCTGTAGTTTTAGTTTATCTAAATATTCAAACTTTGAATATTTCTTCCCACACCAAAAAAAAAAAGAGAGTTAGTGGTTGCCTAAGAACCAACTCGCTACAAAGTGTGTGGTTCATGAATTTCGTTATGTTATTACTACCAATGTTCAATTGGCTATTATTTTTCATTTAACATGGAAGGTCAAATATAGACATGAACATGAAATTAAGAACAGGTATGAATATGATTTTCTGACCGAATTAAGGTGCAGCTGCAACTTCCAACAAGTTATTACTTAAAGTTGATTTGGAATTCATAGGGTTATTAATTGAGAGTCACCGGTTAAAGTAAACAACATTAATTAGTACCCTAATGCTGACCCTTATACTTGTCAAAGGCTTCTGGTAATTCAACATAAAATTATTTAAATCCCATCTTCTAATAAAACTACGTTCTTCCACAACCAAGGTTGAGTCCGTGATACATACTTCAAAAGTAGGTATTGTTTCCAAGGTTCAAGTAAAGGGCCTACTTGGAAGATACTTCTAGCTAATGCAACTCATTCAATCTATAAAACAAAATTGGGATGCAATCTATAAAGGGGAGGACTCATCAAACATGAACAGGAATGAGCTTGAGATGTGTTGTTGATTATGAGTATGTCAAACTTCCTAGAAGTTTTATAATAATTTATTTGTTCCAAATTATGTGACGGTCATTGCTGTGTCATTAGAAGAAGATGAAAGTCCAAGGTAAAAAAGTATATCATTATAAAAATAAACCAAATTTTTTACTTATAATTATGATGGTAACTTTTGTTAGTTTGAACGTTAATTTGGAAAATTGGAACTTCATCTAGAATGAGAGATTAATCAACAAAATACTTTCACAAGAGAATAAATCTCTTATATCTCATTTAACACGATTAAGTCACGTGAGATATCTCAATATCATCCATAATAAATTAACAGTGATGATAGATGATAGAAAGAAAGGTGTTAGAAAAGAGAGTAGGAAAAGTTTAACTGTTTATTTGTCTATAAATTACTAAGATATGTTAGATATATTAATGTAAAATCATTAATATAGTCTCATTTAGCAGCTTAAATTTTTTGAGCTAAAATGATTATTTATGTAACAACTCATTTATGGATTAGACATTGACGTTGTCTGTGGATCAATAAACTTCGATTCTCGTTCCATTATAATTAACACATGTAGCGTGGTGTGTATAGCCACCAGCATCCACATTAATAGTCGTGGCAACAACAACCAAACCAGAATGAGCAGCAGAATGCGCAGCAACCACAATGAACTATGTTCAAGTGAGCAAGTGGGAATCCGCCACCACTTCTACCCCACCGTCCTAGCTCACACCTCACATTGGAAGGCATGTGTTTGGGGAATATTGGTTTTGCACCGGGACTAATAATTATAACTTTTGGCCTAGTGAAAAGCACTTAATCCAACACTTGGTATCAGTGATGAGTTGAAGTTTTTGGATTAAATTGGTTATATTACATAGTATCAAATCTTGAGATCAAATGATCACGAGTTCAAACATTATTGTCTTGCTCTCCAGTAAAATAAAAAACAAAAGTTAAAATGAAAACAAAGTAAACAAAAAAAAAATGGGGAAGGGGGGTTTTTACTTGTTTAAATTTTTAGGTTAAAATATTTCTTTACAATATCATCTGACATAATTTGATAATTTTAAATGAGAAATAAAAGAATTCATTTAATTTATATAAGGGAAAAGAATTTATTTTTTCCAAAAATTTTCTGTTTTATAAAACGGGCGTTCTTTGATTTTGAAATTTGACTTCATTACTTTTAGTGCTCTTTAGTGTATTCATCAAAAGGGTAACTTCGAATCTTAGGAATTGATATCTTCTGATGAAACATTATTTTTTTCTTCATTTGAATTGGCAGTGGATTCTTTAGCTTTCATATATAATGTCATTCTTGCAATACAGATTATGGAGCTACAATTGTTTGAAGCCAAGGATTGTTTCAAGTAAGATGAAGAGTAAGCCAACAAAAGTAATCACATATTTCTGAATATCTTTGTTTCTTAATGTACATGTCCAAGATATATCGCCATATAACAATGAGTGCTTGCAGAACACAAATTATATATATATATAACTGAAGACGGACACTAACTTGGCAGGACAAAAATTTCTTTTCTGACTGAACCATATTTGATAACAAGCATGAAACTGTAGAATTAGACTGACATATAACATTAAATGTGTTCATCAAGAGGAAAAAGGGTTTAGCAGTATAGTCTTACTAACTTACTATAGCCCAAAGACTGTATATTTGTTTACAACTTGGAATTATTTAGTAGTTATCCTATACATAATTACATATAACAAACAAAAAAAAGCAACAATGAAGAGAATTATATTTTATCAAGGCCTGGAAAAAAAAGCATCCCTTGGCAAATCAAAGGGGTTCCAATTACCAATTAACAATTCTGCATCATGAGCTTCAGGTCCAAGAAGTGGTGGTTGGGGTACTTGAAATGAATGGTTTACCATCATCTCAGAATTAGACCACATCATATCATGTGAACCTTCCTCTTCACCTGGCAAAGGTGGCAGCTCAAAATTCATTGTATCATGACCACTGCATTGCTCAATTCTATCTTCTTGATGAGCCTGTATAGAGTCGAAATCTCTATGGTACATTTGGTGATTACACTCACTAAAATGGGGTTCTGTAGATGGTTGTTCAGGAAGATGCAAACAGCCACTAAGACCGTGTTCTTGAAGCAAGTTACTTGGACCAACTTCTGTGTTCAATGATGGTCTTGAATTTTCTAGAGAAGGGTCAAGCCCTGCAGCTCCAGAATCAGGCTTTTGATTGAGGAAATTTGCATAAACTAGAGCAAGATCAATATTTGGTCCATCAGTCACAACTGAGGAACTAGAAGGTGAAATCCTTGTAGGATCATAAGAATGCATTGCATCACCACAAGGTGAATTTTTGAAAGTGAGACCATCAATGGATTGTCTTAAGGTCTTATTACCTCTTCTATTTTTCCTGCATCCACCACCAACAGGAACATTGCGGAGGGACCCACCTTTAGTCCAGTACCTTCTGCAGCCTTTGCAAAAGTACCTTGGTTGAGTTAAGCTATAGTTATTGTAGTAGCAGAACTTGGTGTTGGAAGAACCACACCTTGGACAATTTGGTGATATCTCAACATTATTAGGCTTCCACTCACTCTCCATCACCACAAGCCTATGCTTGTGAGAGAAAGAGAGAGATAAAGGGAAATTTCAAGGTGGGAGTGCTTAAAGATTAGAGTTATATGTGGTACGTGTCAAGCTTGAGTTCCCAAAGCACATTGAGTGTTGGGGTTAAGTTTTTGTCTTGCAATGCACATGAGATATCATGGATATGATATTGGAAATGTGTATGTACCCCATACACATGAGCATGCACGGGTGAAAGTTAGCATGGTAGTGTGCCACTACACCGTAGGCTAATACATGGTGTCGGTGTTTAACACACGTGGCATGATGGTATTGGTGGAGATTAGGGTGATTGTGGAAGCAAACTCATTGGTAGCATCACTTCAGGTTTCTTTCATCAGCAGACAGCCTAGATATATATGAGGAGAAGCACATTCCCACACGAGTGTAGCATCCCAATTCCACACTCTACTTGAAAGTAGAAAGTCACAATGTTTCATAGTCATTACCTTCTTGTAAGAAGAAAATTTTACTATTAGATTACAACAAAAATAGCTAATAAAGAAAAATGAAATCATAGCTCTGTCTAAGTTCTTTTCATCATCCCTACTAATCATTGTGAAAATCTTAGTATTTCCGTGGTACTTACTCTTACTAAAAAGTATCAATTAAGTCACAATGACGTTAATTATAAAGAAGAAGGTAAAACAAATGCAGTTAAAGGGTCACTTTCTTAACTTTAATTAGTGACGCATGGAGTGTTACGGTTACTTCAAGTTCTTTTCCTTTGGCTTCTTAATAAAGTAGGTTGCTTTGTGATTAAATTAATATTGTGATTAAGTAATATAGTTATAAAAAGCAACTGAAAATGTTTGTTATTTTTCATTCATCTGAACTCAATTTCATATTAATTAAGAGTTGAACTTCAACTTATTTTTACCTTTGTTGGCTGCTAATTAATGCATCCTTTCCTCTAATGGTGACAAGGTAAATTTTTTGTTTTTCTCAATGTTTTATTTTAGCTTCTCTAAACAAGTACTTCTGTTAGCAAATTGCAGGACTGTCTATTGTGCAAGAAAGAGGCACATGCATGGGAGCTAATTAGTAAGCATTTTCTGAAGAAAGAATGTCTCTTTCAGGTTGATAATGAATTTTTCGTTGACTCTTATTTCTTGGATCATGGGCTTCTCGGATCATGTACTTCTAAGATTTTCATTGATACTACTAAAATATTATTTTTATAAGTGAAAATGCAAATGATTTACTTGTTTTAAATAATCCTAAAATGTCTCACATTATCTCATAATAGAAGCTGCGAATGCAAAAATGCATAAACAATCAGCTTGTGGAACAAATTGTCATATGTTCAATAATTTAAATAAGATATCATAGCATAAAATATGCTGCACAATAATAATAATCATAATATCTCTATTTCATTTTTTAGAAAAAATATGATGCTTCTTTGGGTGGTTTGTAAAGAATTAATTTCTGGAAATTTTATAGTGAGCTTTATATAAAAGTATTCATTAAAAAATAAATAACTTTTTCTTGAAATATTGGTATTGTTTTTCACTTTTACACAAGTATCTTATTCTGATATTTCAATATATCAAAATAAATAAATAAATTGATAGTTAACTTAACAAGGAAATGACAAAAAGTAATTAAAAAAAAAAAAAAAAAACTACAATGAATCAAGACCGATAAATTGCATATATGATTGACAAACACTTTCTGAAAAAGTTTATAACTTGAATCGAAATATGCAACTGCTTAAGTATAATAATCATAAAATTTGGATTAAAGATTATAAAATTTCGAGACGCTAATTTCTTTGAAAGATTAATTTTGCATTATTAGTGTAAAAGATTTTATATTTTCATTTAATGATATATTCTCATATTATTTAACTAAAGATGAGATGTCAGCTTCATTAAATGACATAGCAACGGATCATTGAATTGCTATCAAGTGGTTTTAAACTTAAAAACAGGCTAAATTGAATTTGCAATCTTTTTCAAAAATATTTATCAATTTTTTTCTATGAAGAAATTTATGAAGTTATTGTTGCGCTCACGGCAAATGCATCGGTCGTACAAGTAATATAACGTTTAAGTAAAGAATCGTTCCCACGAGGATTATACTCAATCACTAATTCACTACTTCAACTTAAGTTGGACAATCGAAATTTAATTTGTAACAGGATTTGAATTTGAAATTTAAAATATTAAAATTAATTAATCGCAAGAACTAAAACAAGAATTTAAAGATTTGATTAATTGACAGAAAATAAACGTAGTTAGGGCTTCGATTTCCTCCAATCTCTCGATTATGTCTGAATTCCTTCTTTAAGTTAATCGTCCTTAATATCAATCTAATCGATTCTTTCTTATGTAATTAGGGCTCAATCCCTTGTTATCCTAAATCTTTACAATCTTGCAAGAACCCTATTTCCCCGGTTATTTCCCAAGAAAGTAAGCATTAAATTCAAGAATCTACGATTATGCAAACCCTATGTCTATCCCTAGAATCATAAAGCTTACGATGAAATGATCAGATACAGATCATGCACCAACATTCCTATTGTCATGCATTTTCCTAAAATCAATCTACAAGATTCAAGCTCATATAAAGCATTAAAAACACATAATTCAATTCATGATAAAAAGGAAAATTAACATAAAGAATTGTTCAAGACATAAACAATTAACTGAATTCCATCTAACCCTAACTACTTAAGAATTTAGCCAGACATAGCAAGATCAAGAACGAAAGAAAATAAAAAACTTCCCCAAACTCCATAGTTGATTGGTGAATCTTCAATATCTCCAGTGCAAACTTGATTTTGATCCGTCTCTACCGCTCACGAACATGAACTATGGACTTCTCTGCGTTCCCTCTACCTCCAAGTACCAAGAACTCTCTAAGAATGTCAAAAAGTTTGAAAAAGTGATTAATTTTGACCCAAAATGTGTTTTTATTGGCCAAGAATGTGTGCCCTAGATGGTTATTTCAGATGGGCCTAAGTTGGGTTTCTAGGGCGCTTAAGCCTCCATTTGGCCACTTAAGCCACCTTGATATTGCATAGAATTTTCACGTAGCGCGCTCTTCGAAGCACAACTTTTACTCTTGGTCATGCTTAATCCCTGAGTTTGGGGTTTAAGCTTCCTCAGGCAGTGGCTATTTGCTTATTTTGAAATAATTGGGAGGCTTAAGCTTCGAAATAGAGGCTTAAACCTCCTCTTCAACAACTTGATTTTTCTTGATTTTCTTTAGATAGATCTTCATATCTTCTAGTTTTGATCTCCATCTATCCAATCTTCATCTTTGACTCCTTTTATCTTCAAATCCCTTCAAAATAGCAAATATCTTTTATTTAATTCATAATTAACAAAGTTCGTGATTTTTATATCAAAACCCTAGTTTTTAACTTGTTTAACTTGATAATTCATATCATTTTAGTCTATAAAAACAAGATAAACTAAAGGTTTATCAGTTATTAATGTTTTGAAATGAATTGATAGATGATAACGGGCATTTTCACAAATTATAAGGGCACACAACTAGGGGTGTTAACGGGCCGAGCCGAGCCGAGCTTTGGTCTTAAAAGGCTAAGCATGTGTTTAAATGTGTCGACCTTACCAAGCCTATTACCTGTTATGAATATATTATCGGCCTGTGGCCTGCCTTATTTACAAAAAATAAAAGCCTGATTTAGCCTGTTAAGAAAAATAATGTAACACCCCGTGTATACTCGGAATATTAACATTACATCGTATTAAGCGGTGCTTAATTAAAAATGCGAAATATTCTTTTTCTTTTCAATTATGACGTCATTATCAATTACCAACTTGACTACTTAATCAATTTCATAAAATAACGCCTGTATATAAATTGCAATATGACATCTACTGAAATACCACAATATATAAATAAAGTGTGTATCTAAATCACGGAATTACATCTCGTAATCCGGACAATATCCTGATACATTATTACAACTCCAAAAGACTCAAGACATAATCAAGACATAACAATACTATGTGTCGTGGACAATCCCCATGCTCACCAAATAAACATAGTAAACAACAAGTCTCAACATAAAACTCCATAAACATGAACTGAAGCTATAAGCATATAAGCAGCATGCATATCCAGCATCCAATCATTGCAGCATAATATAACAGCAATCTAACTCAGCTCCGGCCTCCTGCCGCCTGAGGTCTCAACATTACCTGACCCTGAAATAAGCATTCCCCAAACGTGGGGTGAGAACTCTAAACAAGAAATCTCAGTAAGACAAGGGGTCCTCAAGGATCTTCCACCCCAAGCTCACTTACATGTGCAATATAAGTTCTAAAAGCATTTATATCATTATCAGTTCCAAAACTATGTAGTGCAACAGATATCTATGGCATGTGTGTCTATCACTATCTACTGGCCAGAGAAATGTAGGAATACGTCTATTCCCTACATGTAGTACAAGGAACACCGCTTGCACCTCACCCACATCCTCACCCTATTGTATGTTCTACATATTCAGGCTTACCGTATAGGTGGAACACCTCATGCATATCAACAAGGCACTAACATACAATAGCTCAACAGCATTTCCAAAACATCAAAAGCATGTAACACAGCATGCATATACCATATCCCCATGGGACATGGTGGAACCACAACATGGCTAAACCGAGGACACGAAAGCTTACCTCTAAGCTAGCTATCCAATGCCACAAGCTCAAAGTCCAATCACAGCAGATCACAATCTGATATGGACCAAATATAAATCAATAAACATGTACCACATGCATACAAATTAAAGACAACGCCTTTTCATTACGTTTTAATGTCTTAAAGCTTCTAACAAAGCCACAAGCCCTTAATCCCATGATTCTGGCTTAGTCCATTAAGTACAGAAGTTCAACTTCATCAATCTAGGGTCCACAAACCCCCAATAGCCTACTATACACACAACACAGCTACTGTTCTGCAAAATCTCAGAATATCCGGATATTCCTCGGGACCATATC